CTTCTAGTCACTCTAGCTTTGATACCATGATAAGTAAGAGTGTGCATGTGGGTAAGGTCAGGTCAGGCTTTTGTGCCGACTTGACCCAACTTGGTTTTTATAGGTCAGGTATTTTGACCCGACCCGCTTTAATTTGATCCAAGTCAGATCTGACTTGGTTTGGATTTTTATGAACTAATTCAGAACCGGATCAGATCTAACCTGACTTGGTTTCTGAAGTAGGTCTGACTTGGCTTCTGAAGTGGGTCAAATCTGACCTGACCCGTTTTTGACTTGGTTTAAAAACATGTTTTTAATTTAATTTTTTTTATAGTAATTGATTTTTTTTAAACTCATGTAATTTAATTATTTATTTGTTTTAAAATATATAAGTTTTATAATAAATTTGATATTTGTTGAATAAATAAAGGAATATAATTTTAAGCCCCTGCACATGTGAAACAAAATTAGTGAAAATTAAGGAAAAGTAAAGGATGAGAGAACGCTCTTCCCTTCTTAAGATGACAAATCACTAATTTTAACAATACTAAAAAAGATCATATTTTCGATGAAATTTCTACGTAGCAAACCACAAAAATTTCGTCACAAAATAATTTTTTCGTCAGTATACTTTTTGACGAAAAGCGACGAAATTTTTTCTCTAATGAAATTTTTTACAAAAGTAAATTTTCTAGCGAAATTTTCGACGAAATTTAGTTTCCGTCAAAAGTTTTGATGAACTAGTTTAAGGTAAAATCTTTGATGCCATGATATTTTTCATGCCTTCTGTTGTTTATTTGATGAACTACAAATATTTGAAACTGTTGCCATGTTTAACACTTATTATGTGTACGACTATATGTTTAACTTTGATGCTCGGGGACGGTGAAAGTCATATATTTGTGGCATTCTGGTTTTGTCTTTAATAAAATGAAAAAACTGTCAAAATACTCAACTACTGAGTTAGGTATTGTTGTCCTTAGTTTTCATGTATTTGACAGTGTTCCGTAATACAGAAGCCTTGTCCATATGTGTGGATTAACACATTTTTCACATGATTCATAAGCGAGCACTACTAGTAATGTCTTTATTATCGACGGAATTTTTCGACGAAAAAAATTCCATTGAAATTATTGACGGAATTTTTCACGGAATCCGTTTTCCGTCGAAAATTTCGACGGAAAATAGTTTCCGTAAAAAATTTTTGACGGAAAAAGAAATTCCGTCGAAGATTTTCGACGGAAAACGAATTCCGTCGAAAACTTTTGAAAAAATAAAAGAAAAAGAAATTATATTTTGTTGATTTTTCGACGGAATTTCAATTCCGTCAAAGATTTTCGACGGAAAAGTAATTCCGTCGAATTTTTTTGAAAAATTAAAAGAAAAAGAAATTAAATTTTGTGGATTTTTCGACGAAATTTCGATTCCGTCAAAGATTTTCAACGGAAAAGGAATTCCGTCGAAAAATTTTGAAAAAAGAAAAGAGAAAAAGAAATTATATTTTGTGGATTTTTTGACGGAATTTCGATTCCGTCGAAAAAATTTGAAAAAAGAAAAAGAAATTATATTTTGTGGATTTTTCGACGAAATCAAAATTCAGCCGAAGATTTTCGACAGAAAAGGAATTTCGTTGAAAAATTTTGAAAAAAGAAAAGAGAAAAAGAAATTATATTTTGTGGTTTTTCGACGGAATTTCGATTCCGTCAAAGATTTTCAACCGAAAAGGAACTCTGTCGAAAAATTTTGAAAAAAGAAAAGATAAAAAGAAATTATATTTTGAGGATTTTTCGACAGAATTTCGATTCCGTCGAAGATTTTCGACGAAAGAGGAATTCCGTCGAAAAACTTTGAAAAAAGAAAAAAGAAAAAGAAATTATATTTTGTGGATTTTTCGATGGAATCGAAATTTCGTCGAAGATTTTCGACAGAAAATGAATTCCGTCGAAATTTTTTGAAAAAAGAATAGAGAAAAAGAAATTATATTTTGTGATTTTTCGATGGAATTTCGATTCCGTCAAAGATTTTCGGCGGAAAAGAAAAGGAATTCCGTCGAAAAATTTTGAAAAAAGAAAAGAAAAGAAAAATTATATTTTGTGGATTTTTTGACAGAATTTCGATTCCGACGAAGATTTTTGACGAAAAAGAAATTCGAAAAATTTTGAAAAAAGAAAAGAGAAAAAGAAATTATATTTTGTGGATTTTTCGACGGAATCGAAATTCCGTCGAAGATTTTCGACAGAAAAGGAATTCCGTCGATAATTTTTGAAAAAAGAAACAAGAAAAAGAAATTATATTTTTTTGGTTTTTCGACGGAATTTCGATTCCGTCAAAGATTTTCAACGGAAAAGGAATTCCGTTGAAAAATTTTTAAAAAAGAAAAGAGAAAAAGAAATTATAGTTTGTGGATATTTCGACAAAATTTCGATTCCGTCGAAAAATTTTGAAAAAAGAAAAAGAAATTATATTTTGTGGTTTTTCGACGGAATTTCGATTCCGTCAAAGATTTTCGACGGAAAAGAAAAGGAATTCCGTCGAAATTTTTTGAAAAAAGAAAAGAAAAAAGAAATTATATTTTGTGGATTTTTCGACGAAAATTCGATTCCGTCGAAGATTTTTAATGAAAAAGGAATTCTGTCGAAATTTTTTGAAAAAAGAAATTATATTTTGTGGATTTTTCGACAGAATTCCGTCTAAGATTTTCGACAGAAAAGGAATTCCGTCGAAAAATTTTGAAAAAAGAAAAAAGAAAAAGAAATTATATTTTGTGGATTTTTCGACGGAATTTCGATTCCGTCAAAGATTTTCAACAGAAAAGGATTTCCGTCGTAAAATTTTGAAAAAAATAAAAGAAAAAGAAGTTATATTTTGTGGTTTTTTTCGGCGGAATTTCAATTGCGTCGAAGATTTTCAACAGAAAAAGAATTACGTCGTAAAATTTTGAAAAAAATAAAAGAAAATGAAAATTATATTATGTGGATTTTTCGACAGTATTTCGATTCCGTTGAAGATTTTTGACGGAAAAGAAATTTCGTCGAATTTTTTTGAAAAAAATAAAAGAAAAAGAAATTATATTTTGTGGAGTTTTCCACGGAATTTCGTTTCTGTCGAAAATTTTCGACGGAAAAGAAATTCCGTCGAAAACTTTTGAAAAAAATAAAAAATTATATTTGTGTCTTTTGGACGGTTAGCAAAATCAAACCTATCGAAAAATGACCTGCATTAATGGTTTTTAAATTTAATTCCATTTGTTTGTGTATTTTTTTTAGAAAGTCAAAAATTCAAAATTCTAAATTGTTAGTACATAGGTGTCCTAAAGGGTATTTAGAGAGTCAGATGGGCCCATGTACTTCTTTATTTGTTATGAATATATTTTATGAATAAAAGCATTATTTATCTTATTTTATATTGCTTGTCTCAAATATTGAATATGAGTAACTGGATAAAGCTCTTGGAATGGAACGTGTGTCACATTGAGGATCTGTGATAGGTATCACGATCATGAGGGCTCAATGACACCACACGTCCATTGCCAAAAATATGTTCCTAGTCTAGAGATATCGATATGGATAAAGAAATTCGCCAATCTCTGTGAGAGATTAGGTTATCCGTAGACCGGTGAAACCGGGATGACATTTACGGGACTCAGGAATCTATGCATAGTAAATGAGTCATGAGATTGCCCGTTCTTTAGGGTTCGTAAATGAAGATTCCATGTTTTGGCAAAAGCTAACCCTAGACCGCAGAGGTTGATACGTTTTCCTTGACCTAGGTCAATGGGATGGATAACCGAGACGAAAAGACAATTCACACGGTAACCAAATAGGTATAACAAATTGATTATTCAATGAACTCAACTAGCTCTGGGATTGGAAAAAAACCAATTAATTGACTGAAATTGAGAAAAACCAATCAATTGGATTGATTGGATAAAATTAAAAAAATTACCGAATAAGATTGGGATTTGATGAGGGTGCTCATTTGACCTAGTCTTAGGTTAATGAGGCGCCACATTTATATATAACCCCTCTTAATACAGTAACCTTTGAAATGAAGTCTAATTTCAAAATGGGAAATTTAAATTTCATAAATTTAAAACTAATTTACAGGATATATACGCTTTTTTTTAGTACCAGGATATATACGAATTCGTTGTCTTTGGATATCAAATTAAAAAAATTATTTTTTATAATATTTTGTATAATATCATCAATCATAATTAATGTACCAATCAAAATTAATTATGATTTGTACATTAATTGTGATCAAAATTAATTTTGATTTGTGATAGATATATTAATTGTGATTGATGATTGATATTTTAATATTGATTGATGATTGATATATTAATTGTAATTAAATATCCCTTTTTCCTTCATATTTTTTGATTGTGAGGGGTACATTAATTCTGATCGGGTAAAATGATTGTGCCACATAGCGCACGAGTTTGTATCTTTTTTTAACATTTTTTATTAAATTGTATTATTTTTAAAATTTTATAGAGTTGTATATTAATAAAATATACTTTTGTTTTTTCCACCAAAAAAATATACTTTTGTTTTTAATATTAAAATTTATTATTGAAGTGGATATTTTCAATATTTAAATCAGTTTTTTTCAAATTCTTCTTGAAATTTTAACTACTATGTTTTTATATATTAAATTATACTATATTAGTTTACCAAAAAAAAATTATACTATATTATTTAAAATTTGGAAGCCATGCTTTCGAGGAAAACTTTGTATTATATGATTACAAAAGAAAAAAGTTATATTTATAAAATTTACTTTTCGACGGAATTTAATTAAATTCGGTCGAATATCGTTTGTGAAAAATTTATAAATAAAAATTATTTTTGTGAAAATTTTTCCTCCATTCCTTCAAAATTTTTCCCACTTTCCCCTAAATCTTTCTCACTCTCTCCCCGCGCTCAAAATGACCCACCGTTCGAGTTCATATTATCCTTTTTATCAAATGTCCGAAGCAAGAAGCATGAGTCACAGATTTCGTTCTAATCAGTTTCTCTCTCCAAGTGATAAGAAACCAAGGACAGTAGTCCTATGTGTTCGCTTAGGATCCACTCATTCAACTCTAACTTGTACTGCGAGTTTTCACTTCAAACTTGCGAGCCAGAAAGGCCCTTGTTTGTTTTTTTTCTTTTCTATAGAAACTTTCAACTCAACTTCGCTTCTTCTTCTTCCTCCAACGTATGCAACTTGCTGATGGGTCTCTTCTTAACGGGAAATTGAGCTCATTTCCCATATGGGTTTTGTGATTTGGGACAGAATGATGCCTTTGACAAGCAAAAGCATGGATTTTGCTGGAAAAAATTTGGTTTCTTGTGGTTGTTCATCCAATGCTTCTTTTGACCGTTACACGGTGAGGAATTATGCAAAGGTGGATTCTAAAGGGTGTGGCAGAGGACATGGAACTCGTAAATTGATTTGTTGTAAGAGTAGGAGCATGAAATCTCGGGTTTCTTCTATGAAGACTGCAGAGCCTACGGTTGATGGTATAAGATTTTTTTTCAATAGAAGTGTGTAGTAGAGTTGCTTCATGTTTCTAGTTTGAATGAATAAAGTAACATAGGTATTGGTTATTGCAGTGGAACTAGATATTAAAAGTTTTGATTTTGTTTTTGCATAGGTGGAACTCAAGCAATTAAAGGTCTTACAGGAGGATTGGGCTTGAAGAGTTATTCAGAAACCCCCATTTCCCCTACTCGGTTGTTTGAAGTGGTTGCTGATGATCTGCAAACCCTTAATAAAAATCTTCAGTCGGTAAGTGATGGTTTTGGGATTCATATTTTGTGCTGTTTTACTAACTACTGTGATTGACTTATAATTGTTCCTGTCCCATCTGGTGATAACTTGTGTTGTTTCACCATTACTGATATTGCATTGACCAGACCAAAAAAATTGTGGAAGTTTGAATGGGATAAAATATGGGGCATATGCTGTTGAATGATATTCAATGTTCAGTGATTGGACACATGACTTTCTTTGCTCATTGTTGTTGTTAACTTTTACTGAATCCCTCATTTCAGTTTTGTTTGATAACATCATAATTCTTTGTCTCTTGATACAAGTTTACAAATTATAATATTTCAGGATTAATTATTAAATTTAAATTAGTTTTAATGAGATTGAATGATTTTTTTGAATGCCATTCTTATTTGTTTTTACTGTGACTGAAATCCCTACCTACTTATTAGGCCTCATTGCATTGGATGCTTTTTTGTTTCCTAGTTTTGTGGTTCTATACTTCAGTAGACCTTTTTTTGTAAGAAAGTTGATCCAGTAAATTGGTGCCAAATCCTTATCATTCTCATTGCCTGCAGAACCTTCTTGCCTTTTAGCTTCTTTTACTTTGCGAACAGTATTGATTAGATTTTTTGTGCCTAACTTTTAATGTATCTAATGAAGATGCTTTCATAGATTGTAGGTGCAGAAAATCCAGTTTTAATGTCAGCAGCTGAGCAGATCTTTAGTGCTGGTGGGAAGAGGATGAGACCAGCTCTGGTTTTCTTGGTGTCAAGGGCGACAGCAGAGCTACTTGGCTTGAAGTAAGTATAGAATTCTCTTTCTTTCTCTCACACACGTGCGCACACAAGTTCTTTGCCTGTCTTGAAAATTCTATATATATGACAATAAAAAGTTGAAAGCTTCATCTTGAAATGCATGACTCCAGGGAACTTACTGTAAAGCATCGGCGTTTAGCAGAGATAATTGAAATGATTCATACTGCAAGTTTGATACACGATGATGTATTAGATGAGAGTGACCTACGAAGAGGTAGGCTTGTTATCCTAGTTCAGAAATACCCATTTAATTTTCCTGACATCTCTTTAGATTTCTGATTATGTATCTTATTTGGCAAGATGCATGCTATTAAGAATTTTTGGTAGCATTTTTGAGTCAAAGTAGGGAAAGATATAAATTTTTTTCAGAATTATTATTGTCTTAAAGATAAAGAAAGAAGTTACAGAGACATAGAAGGAATTTAGAATTTTGATTGAGTAGGATTTAACGGGTTATTGGTTTTGTATAGCTTTATATTTGCTATAGGATTGCATATTTAGGCTGTAATATTGTGTGTTATGTTTGCTATCATTAAGTAGCTGGCAGATTGTTTGATAGTTTTATGTGTGCTTTTGATCCATTTTGATGGATGCTACATGGAGCTATGAATTGATGGGATGTCTATGGTGAGGTCAATCTGAGTATGTCTATGGTAATCATGATATGAATTGCACGTTCATTAATCTCCTATGTGTGGTATACTTTCAGGATGTTAGTCTATGAGTATGTCAATAATGGAAACTTGGAGCAATGGCTTCATGGAGCTGATAGTCATCCATGGATATCTTACCTGGGAAGCACGTATCAAGATTCTCCTTGGCACAACCAAAGCGTGAGTATCTGCATCTATGCTTCTTTTGGTTTTCTTAGTCCTCATATAAAACAATATACTTGTTTCAAGCTTGCGAATTTACACGAAGCAATCGAGCCAAAGGTCAGGTGCACCTTTGGGTCAGTATTTTGTCCTCTGCCCTATAGACAGATGAACTTTTCCCATGCTCAATATTGTTAAACTTTCATAAGAAAATATAATTCTTATATTCTTTTTTGCTCTATATATTTGTCAGATATGTGGCTCTGAATATGCAAATACTGGCTATATAGATAGATAGATACGTGACTTTTTTGCTCTAAATATAGATTGCCTTTTATTAATGATTTAAGAATATAGAGTTAAATAATAGTTTAAATGTTATATCTTTTATTATTTTTTCTCTTTTATTTTTTGTACTAATAGTCTAATGGAGTAATAGGACAGCCAGATAGAGTATTTCAGTACCCCCATTAACTATTTTAATCTGATAGTTAATTAATTTTGTTCACGTTATATTCAGGTACTCACCCACTTACATTGGAACATACATGAATTACAATTACAATCAGGTAGGCATAATAATCCGGTACAGTTACAGTTGCACAGCTTAATACCAAAATTAATTAAATGTATATATGAGGGGAAAAAATACTTTTTGACGTAAGAAATATGATTTACAATTATAAGGCTACGTAACTTATAAAAGTTACGTTAGTTATATATATATAACTTACGTAACTTATAAAACTAAAGTAACTTTTATATATATATATATATATATATATATATATATATATATATATATATATACAAATGAATTATTGTTGGCCTCTTTTCCTTCTTTTTTCCCCTCTCTGTTTCTTATGTTCATTTTTGGTTGTATTTAAATGCATGTTGGGGAATATCAGAGTACTTGATAAATTTTGTTTTTGTAACCACAAGCTTATATCTACAATTTTTATCTGTAGACCATTAATATGACCTTTGCAGCAGTAAATTGTTAACTTGAAGAAGCCATTGGAAAATATGAGTAAGTATTTTTGGTTGGTTGTATAACTTCAGATTATATATTTTGTTAGATTTGTTGTGCTTTTCCAATTATTTGTGTTTTAAATATTTTACATGCTTACAGGTACAGTTGCACAACAAGAGGAAAAGGCTGCACAACAATAGAAGAGGGCTCCAAACAACAGAAAAGGGCTGCAAAACATGATTTTTGTATCTTATTTGAATGTATATGACATGGACATAAACTTTTTTCATTAGTATATAACAAAGACTTTTGTACACATAATTATATTAAGATCAATATGAATTTGATATATTATTTACTTTCTTTATATTTGTTAATCAGGTGCAAAAGATAAATAGGTATTAATTTTGTAGAGCAAAACTAAAATAAAATTTGACAAAAAAGCAATTTCGTTGAAAATTAAGGCAATAGTTTTGGCTTTTTCACCCTTTTACCCCTTATTAATTAATAACTATTTTGCCCCTGATTCGAAATTATTTATCAATCTGCCCCCTCTTTAGTCGACTACCTTGTATTTTTAATCGACTAAATGGCCAAAACAGACAAAAAATGGCTGCTGGGAGATTTAGTCGACTAAATCTCCCTATTTAGTCGACTAAATCTTCATATTTTACAAAAAAATAAATAAGTCAGTATGATTTTAATCGATTAAGTAGAGAGATTTAGTCGATTAAATCTCCCAACAATCGTTTAGTCGATTAAAAATGCAAGGTAGTCGATTAAAGAGGGGCAGATTGGTAGATAGTTTCGAATCAGGGGCAAAATGGTTATTAATTAATTAATAAGGGGCAAAAGGGTGAAAAAGCCCAATAGTTTTTGACAGAATTTAATTCAATTTTTGTAAAAAATGATTACAAAATTTTTTGACGGAATTTTATTCATTTTCTATCAAAAATTTCGACGGAATTTATTTTTCGTCGAAAATTAATACAAGATTTTTTGACGGAATTTTATTCATTTTCCGTCGAAATTTTTTGACGGAATCAGTTTTCCGTCGAAAACCATTACAACAATTTTTGACGGAATTTCTTTGATTTTCCATCGAAAACCATTACAATAATTTTCGATGAAATTTCATTCAATTTTCGTCGAAAATTTTTGACGGAATTTATTTTCCGTCACAAATTGAGACAAGATTTTTCGAAGGAATTTCATTCATTTCCGTCGAAAATTTTTGACGGAATTATTTTTCCGTCGAAACTTCCCACAGAAATTATTCCGTCGAAAAAATTGTTACTCACGAAGATATATTCGACGGCTTCATTTCCGTCGAAAACATCATTTTCGACGGAATTTTAACGATTTTCGACGGAATTCTTCCGTCGAAAAAAAAAACATTTTCTAGTAGTGTAGAGTAACAAGACTGGAGCATTGATGGTTTGTTTGTCTTTTTCCAATTCATAACAATACTTAATTTAAGAGCTAGCGTAGTAGCATGTCGTGTAAATTCTTTATTTATGCTATGAACAAGTTCTGCAAGAACAATGAGGCTCTGGTTGAGCGCTTCTCTCTTCGCTTGCCATGATGTGATCTTGAGCTTGAACTGGACACCCCCTTACACTTTGAAGTTTTTATTTCAAAGTTTTGATTTGAGGACAACTTTGGGACTTGAATTGGGAAATGCGTATTTCCTAATTGGGACAGTGACATTGGCAAGAGATGAAAAACTAACAGGGATATACATGCAGAATACATTAAAGTCATCCAATTTATGCACAAAGAGTAGTGAAAGGTCAAACAAGCATAGCATGATATTGAACAACATTGTTTTGCTCAGATTGAGAGTTTCAGAGAAATGATATTAGCACACAGTTAGTTTATTAGCATAAAACTTTAAAATATGTCTTCATTGACAGAAATTCACCATACATTTGTCAAGGAGACTCAGAATACCAGCCTCATGTTCGACCCAAGGAATTGGCATTAATTTGCCACAAAAAACTCTTACATTAAATTCTCTGTCCCTACAAAGAATATAATCTTACAGATACTAGAGTATGAACAAACACAAAGTCTAGGAGAAATTTATAAATCAATAATCCTGCATCAAGCGATACATAATTTGAAATAAATAACACAAAGGTTATAATTTACTCAAAATAAAATGTAACTTCAACACCAAAAAAATTATCACTTGAGAAAAGATTAATAAGGACCTTTTTTTCAAGATAAACAATATCCCTTTTATGATCAAAAGTTGGAAATATTATTAAATAAGATTGCAAAAATGCTGAAAACATGAAAGGAATTACTCATCCAATACTAATACCAATTGTGCATAAGGACAGAGACTGTCATCACTCCAGATAAATAATGTCCCTTTTTTATGCAAAAGACATCGAAATCTCATGATAAACAATATCCTTTTTATAGACATCAAGATCTCATGAAATACTCCATCCAAAATTTATTAGGTACTGATCATAAAGACGTCAAAATCATAAATGGTGTTCATCCAAAAAGTATTCCATATAAAAACACAAAACCTTAGTCCTTATCCTCTCACCTTCAGTAACTTATTCAGGTAATTTACGTTATATTTTAAAATGTTAAATGTACTCATCTACTCTCAAAATTTATTTGCTCTTACATATTCGATTAAAATCCAACTCTATATAACAAGTGAGTGTGAGGTGTATATACTTAATTCAAGGGGTTTACTTAGGTCAACAAAAATTAGACCCCACATGGTTTTAAAAACAATAGTCAAGTCCTTAATTGGGGGAAAATTTTTTCACTTGAGCGTTTGTCAGCTGGGTTACAACAAAGTGATCATATTGCC